CTACTACTTTTTGACTGATTCATTAGTAACATGTTTAACTCATTTGACTTTATGAATATACCTTTTGTGTCCTTACTGTATTAATGGTTTCCAGATGTTGACAACAAATGCAATGTTTCTTCTTACCCTTAATCTGTAGGGTTTTCAGTAATACTGACCTTTGTCTATGGTTACTGTTCACTACCCTTCTTCCAGTGCCCCTGCCTCCCACTTGCTTCTTTTTGCCCCCATATATTTACTCACTGCTCCCAGGGGCAATAGTGCCCACTTTGGAAACCACTGTTTTAGATTTATGGCTGTGTAATTTGTGATTTTAATATCAATAGCTGATGATTTCCACAATAATAACCAGAATACTTTCAGACAATTTAACTGATCAAGTTTGAGAGAATCAGATTAAGAAAGCATCTATTGATCCACTATATGTAAATTTCAAAGGAATCCCAAAATTGATAAGATGATTAAGTTAATACAAATTATTCTTTTTACAATAGATTCTCTATATTTTCACTTCCACCTCCCACTTATTGAATTGCTGCAATTTAGACTATGCTAAAAGTAGACTAAGTAGATTAATGATGCAATTAGTAAGAAGAGTTCAAATTCTTCACCTGACAAGAATATAATTAAAAATTTGTTGGAAAATTGTTATCCCATATGACAAGCAGATATTGCTGAATTTATTTAATTAAATTGTCAGCTCTATTATTTATCCTGAATCTTGCAATACAATTAAACTTCGATTTTCAAAACAGAGGGTAATTTTCCACATAAGATCTTATCTGATTGAGTAGCAAGTATTATATATTAAAGACAATTCTGACAATGGCTGTATTTGAAAACCTTAAATCAATTATGTTTTGCCATTTCAATGCATTTATTTTTAAAATATTTCTATTGCTGATGCTAATTCGACTTCATCTCCTTAGAACACAAATGCAGTGAATCAAATTCCTCATTTAAGAAATCCCTAATTCAAAAGGAAACAAGTGAAATGAAATGGAGAGAATTTCCTTTCATTCTCTTTTAGGTATTATTTAAATGCAACATGCTTTTTTTATTTTTATGCTGATAATTCCCAAATATTTTATTTGTAGTCAATGTAATGTCATTTTTAAGTATTTTATGTACTATTCATAATTAATTTGCTGACAGTTTAAAACACTCCTGCAATAGAAGGGCTAGATGAAAATATATGGAATTTCAAAATAGTCTGTGTTGAACAAATTTTGTAGTGAATAACATTGCCCACAGATAAGGCATCTTAATGCATCAACTGCCTCAGCCATCTGTCCATCAACCAAACTCCTGGATTGCTTGCTCAGGTTCAATTTTTCATGGGCAGTATGTCCTGGATATGTTGGGGCTCATTATATAGGTTGTAGGTTTTTCAAATAAATAAGTAAAAATAGCTGATCATAATAAATAAAACTATTAAAAAATTCAAAATAAAGCAAGCAATTGAAATATTAGGATTTATTTTGTTGTTGAGCATATGGTAAGTAACATATCTTTTAATTATGCAAATTTTATCGAGCTCTAGCAATTTTTTCCAAAAAGGAACATACAGCTATAGAGCAAATGGATAATCAATGCAAGACTGAAAATTAATAATAATAATAATAATAATAAAAAGGCAGCTCTTAATGCAATTTTAGATGAGATGGAATTTTATGACAATTTTATAAACCTGTGTCTTAATAGCCAGAGATTTAAAAACCATATCGATATCTTAAGATTTTAAATTAAAAAGCAGGGCTGTGGAGTTTTGGTATTTTAGCTGGAGCCGGAGTCGTCAAAAAATCCGCCGATTCCGACTCCTTTTTACTTCCCAACTTCTTATGTATATAAAATGGAAAAGTATTGGAATCGTGTCAAATTTGACCCTCCAGGTTTTTTTTTGCAAATCTACATGTTTGGAGACCTCTCGAACCCCTCAAAAAGTCAATAAAAATTCAGAGGAAAAATTCGTGTGCGTGTATGTGTTGGTGTCTAATTTGTTTAACTTTTTTATTTTCTGTTCTGAGATATTAAACAATATCTCAGAATGGGTAAAGTTTAAGAAACGAAATGTGGCACTGTAGCTTGCATATAAAGGGACATTAATACTATTAAATTTTGGTTCTTAATGAAAGGTCGACAGGGTGAATATATAAAAGTGGTCGTGTCATATCTCTTTATGAATATTTTGCTCGTTATTAGCATTCAAAATTTAAAAAAAAAATAAAATTTGTTTCTACCCTCAAAGTAAACGTTTTTGTCATTTTATAATAGTATAGTAAAACCCATTAAGATGTTCTCGCCTAAGATGTTAGAATGTATATGGGGACACGATTTAGTTCAACCACTTTGACACTTAATAATTAACTACTGTGTTAAACCATCTGACTCTGATTTTGACCACTCTGACCACAGAAATTATTAGGCTTCAAACAGAGTGAACAAAATCATGCCCCCCCACACAGTCTAACATCCACACATATAGAAAAACCTCGAATCTCTTGCATGTCTCGAAATTTCAAGGTATCCTGAGTCCAAAAATGTAAAAGTTTTGAAGGGTCATTTTTTGACTGAGCGCTACACTTTTCCTCTGTTATATATAACAGCTGGAAAAGTAAAAGTTATTGAATATAGGCCTATATTTATATATTGCTTTGGAATAAAAGGTTTCTACGTTCTATCTTTATTAGAACTCTATTTATTGAATCTTTTATTCTGAAGTCACGTGATGACATCAAAATTTCCGTGTCTCTTTCGGTAACAAGTCCACCCCTAGTCGGAGTCGGATGGTAAGGAAAAGTCTGAGTCGGTAGATTTTTACGCGACTCCACAGCCCTGTTAAAAAGTAAGTTTAGTATCAGTCATTCAATGATCTGGGAATAAATGTAATTAATAGGAATAGTCAATGGAAAAAGTAGGTAGAGGAGAATTACAAATTAAAGTAAAACACAGTTTTCTGTATATTAATACTGAGGTTAGCAGATTCAAATACAGTAGAGCCTCAATTATCTGACTCAATTGGGGACTGGGGTTGGTCGGATAATTGAAAAGTTGGATAACCGAAAAGTATGAAAAAATCCATTATTAGTGTAGTATATTATTATATCCCATGTAATTAGTATATCGCTATTAATCTACTTCATGTTGAATTTTCATCGATGTTAAGCCTAACAAAAATTTTTTAAAATAATAATCATTGCTATTGTATCGTTAAAAATTAGAAAATTAAGCCTCATTTAAATACTTGCTCCCTTTCATGGTCGATCCAGTGTTGCCAGCTAAAACACGTAAAAATAATATTAAAGTAGCCAAGACATAGCAAAATATTGTAGCGCCACATCACTAGTGGACATTTGAAATCTGCCGACTAGGACGGTCGGTTAACTGAGGTGACAGTTAATCGATGCTCTACTGTATTAAATAAAATTGCCAGGACGAATACATATTTAAAGGAAAATATATCTTTTTGTAGACTGTACATACAAGGATGAGTAGAAATCCCTTCAGTCCTTTCACATGCTGTTTGAGGTAATAACAATTCCACCGGCAGAGTCGACCTTTTATTGTAGGCTATTTGTCTGCCGTAAAATGCAAAAAAGTTAAAAGTGTGTGAAAGGACTGAAGGGATTTTGACTCATCTTTGTATGTATAGTCTAAAGAAATATATATTTTTCTGTAGATTCAGATATGTTTTTTAGCAAGCGTGAGATACTGTGGGCCAAGGGTTAATCCCTTCTTAAGGGAGGTGAGCAAGTCGGCAGGCATCCTTTCAAAGACAGCATTTATTGAATAACTAAGGTTATTTGTTCAACCTTTGTTTAACAAAGTTGGTTAAATGCGATTAAATATGAGATATATATACAAAGGGGCAGCTTTTAGCAGCTAAGCTATTCTTGGAGCGAGAGAGCGTTCACAATGCTCTAATAAAAAATACCTCTGAGGAAACAAACGGTATGCGCCGAATGGTTCGTAGGAATCACAGTCCAGCGTAGAACTTTAGTGTGGCGATAGACCATGGCTTTGAACTTCCATACTTGTCTTCTACTGATATCTTCTCCTTCTGTCCATTTGAGTCCATTATGTGGAGGTCCAGGAGACAAGATGCACACATTGGCAAGTATAACTTCCTTTGGATCGCCCCGAGCTTCTGGGGTTAGAGCTTTTATTTAATTGTTGTAAAAGAAGTCACATGATTGTCAAATGTTGATGATAATGGTGCATTCTTGACACCTACGTGTCAACTTTCCCATCTAATTGTTATCACAAATGGTGACCTCCAATCTAATTCTCACAAGGAGTGTTTTTTCTATTGGAGTTGTTTAATTTTTTTTCAACAACTGCATTAAATTTGCAGAAGTCACACAAGCAAATATCAGATAAAAATTTCTTGTGTCATTGGCATAAGCTACAAGGTGGAATTTAATATGGCAAAGATTATTCTGAATATATATTAACAAAGGCCACCAAGAACAGATCATTGTTGAACACCACATAAAGAACTAAAATTGAGAAATGTAAAATCAAAATACAGTAGGTGGTTTTGAATTTTCATAGCAAAAAGTAATTATTGAGCTATGAATGAATCATTGGATCAATATCATATACATGGAGCAAGTCAAGAAGAATATTTGGTAAAATGGAATCTAAGACATTGCTAATGTGAATATATATAACATAACAGGGTTGCTTAATCTCAATACTATTAATGATAAAAGACAAAGTTTGTTTCAGATTTGTAGTTGTGGAATAATGGCAAATACCACAACTGTGCAGGACCCTTTTTCAACCATTGGAGTGCAGTATAGTTTTATATGAATATAAAAAAATAAAAATTTTCATTTGTAAGCATTCAGTGTATTTGAAAGTGTACATTCAACATTGTTACTTTTTTTACTGTTTGTAAAAAAACACAGATTGCTTGTATAAGTCACTTCAAAGCAAAATTAAATGATGTAACTATAACACATAATCACATGTATTAAATTTTTAAGAAAAATTACCTTTTTGATATTTATAGTAAGCTTGAACTGTAAGTGTATGAAATAACATCCACAAAGAACAAGGATATCCACGAAAACCAGGCTTACTTCCTTTGCAACCTTGCCAGTCACGTCTTGGTGGTAAATATGCTTTTTTACTCTAAAAATAAATATATTTTATATTCTGAAAACAAAATACAATTTTACAAATATATACCAACTTGCAGAAGGACCATATTCTCCATCATTTTTTCAACATTAATTTCAGATTTTTGTTCTAAAATCCAAAGGTATAGTTTATTTAAATATCTCATTATTGGCAATCTACCTGGAAAATACTAAATATAAAATAAAATCAGTCATTGTTATACTAAAAATTTTAATTCTAAAATTATTTGATCTTTCTTCTTACTTTGATAAGAATACTGATAAAATCTTTAAGTGCATTCAGCTTCTCTCCTCTCAATACTTCATGTACACCAACTTCTTGACGTAATGAATAATTCAAAGCATTTTCTAAATCTCCCATATAAACATTGTTAGAATATCTGTAATGTAGAAATTCTGTAATATTATCAAACTATTTTAGAGTTTTTTATTCTATGATCAATTACTCTAAAATAAACTTACTGAATATCATTTCCCATTACAGATATAGTTATGTGTGATGATTCATCTGGTAAAACATGGACCTGTGATAATTTTGGATTCAATATTTGTAGAAATGCTTCCCTGTAATTATCTTTGCCTTGATCACTTAAAAAACAAAAAAACAAAATCAAATTTACACTAAAAGATTATTAATTACTCATGCTCATCATTATTATATATATACAATATTTTCTTCTATTGTGCAACTCTGGGCCATTTTTTAGTTTGAAAACTGTCACAGTAAAATTATAATGCAAAATTAACCCCCATATAACACGGGACTTACGTTCCAAAAAATTGCAGTGTTCTGCGAATCTGTATTATACAAAACAAAGAACTAGTGCAAAAAGGAGGGTTAGGTTCCAAAAATTAAAAACATACTGTTAAATCCTTACTTAAATCAGATTTATTATTTAACCCAGCGCTGTCCAACTGGCGGCCCGCGGGGCGTATACGGCCCGCCAAATAATTTTTACGGCCCGCGAGTACATTTTACTATGAATGAATTTGTTACTAAATTATTATTATTAATATTAAAATTATTTTACTACCGTGTTTCCCCAAAAATAAAACAGTGTCTTATATTAATTTTTGCTCTGAAAAATGCGCTAGGTCTTATTTTCAGGTAATGTCTTATTTTTTCCAGGAGGAAGAATTCACATTTATTATTGAACAAAAAAAAATTCCCATGTCGAACTTAAACGAGAGTGACGTATATCCGGTGTGTCGAACTGTTGTCTTTTTATAGCGTCAATATCGGACTCGCTGACCAATTAGTGCTTACTGAACTGTAGCACTATGCAAATGTCATGTGGCGTGATTCCCGGCCGACCATCACCAGCCATAACGTTATGCAAATCTGTGATTTCCAAGCCATAGTCTTATGCAAATCATGCTGTGTGGCGTAATTGTCTGCTGACCAATCAGTGGCTGTACTTTCAAAAAGCCAACGGCCACTTTCAACCGTCTGTCGATGACCGTTACGA